TTAACACTTTTTCCCAGGACTTCAGTGATACGTACAATAGACCACCTGACATTAACCCACAGGTCAGGAGGGTCCTTCTTCCTTTCCTTCCCCTCTCTTTCTTCCTTTCTTCCTATTCCTTTTCTTTTTTCCCCCTGAAGATCTAATTGGCTTTATTCAGTGATCCAGAATCAGGCTGCAACCCCTCTAGTAAACACGTAAATACTCCGCATTTGATTCTTTTTTATGTCTTCAATGTTTAAAAAATTTTTTCTAATGTTTTATTTATTTTTGAAGGAGAGAGACACAGAGTGTGAGGTGGGGAGGGGCAGAGAGAGAGGGAGATGCAGAATCCGAAGCAGGCTCCAGGCTCTGAGCTGTCAGCACAGAGCTCGACACGGGGCTCCAACTCACAAGCCGTGAGATCATGACCTGAGCCGAAGTCAGATGCTTGACTGACTGAGGCACCCGGGCGCCCCTTCAATTTCTTTTCTCATCATGTTATGTTTTTCATAAATCCTTGAGCATATTTTTAATAGCTGTTTTAAATTTCTTATCTGCTAATTTGACCTTTTCTGCCAATTTTGGATCTATGTCTTTTGACTGAGTTTCCTCCAGTTTATGGATCACATTCTCATGCTTCTTGGAGTGTCTAGTAATTTTGACTGGATACTAGATATTGTGTATCATACCACTGAGGGTCTGGACTCTGTCTTCCTTTAAAGAGTGTTGAGTTTGTTTTGGCTGATAGTTAAACTCTTAAAGATCAACTTGACCCCATTAAGACTTATGTTTAAGCTTTGGTGGGATGGATTTAGAGCAGCCCTACTAATTACGCATAGCCCTTCTGGAATCTTCCCTCTCACGGGTTGGAATTCACATGCCTCCCAGGACTGTGTCAGCTCTGAAAACAATTTGGCTTACAGAGACCTGGTATTTCCTTGACATTCCGAGGTTCCCCTTACACATACATTAACGAGGGAGCACAGGGCCAGGTGAGGGCAAAGCACAAGCTAACACTCCCCCCCTCCCACCCCCAGGTGGGATGTGTGTGATCCTTAGGCTCTCCTGGCTGTCCAAGAACGAAAGAAAGGAAATGAAACAAATGGTTAACTGACAGAGACCACAGTCATACAGGACACGAGTCTCCATCAGTTTACAAATCTCTTAGTAAATTATGAGAAAAAGGCAATCTTATCAAGAGCCTAATCTCCAGAGACCTATAGACTCAGTTTCCTGGATTCCCTAATGTCAACCCCCTTCACACAGTAACGTGGGGAACAAAGGCAAGGAGGAAACGGCAGGTGAAATTAAATTTCTTTATAACCCGCAGCCTGTGGACAAATACTGGAGGCAAATGCGAAGCAGAGCATGTCTCCAGGACCCCCCGCTGTCCTCCTGCTGATGACTTCCTGCAGGGAAAACACCTTGGCCTGACAGTAGCAAGGCCTCCTCTTCAGCTTATGAAAGTCCCTCTGGAGGCCTCCCTTTTGACTTTACCTCCGCCACCTCCCTAGTATATAACCAGTCACTCTTCACAACCCCCCCTTCCCTGCAGCTCTTTCTTCCAATGGGTCCTCTCCCCCGTGCTTTAATAAATTCTCCTTTTTGCAGCAAAGACGTCTCAAGAAATCTTTCTTGGCCGTCAGCTCCAAACCCCAACCATTCCCAAACCCCATCATATATGACTAAGTTTTCAGCCACAGGTTCAAGGGGCCTCCTTTCAGATTTCTAGGGCTCTTTATGTATCTTTCTCCTCTCCAGTGCTCTGAACCTCAAATTCCAGCCATTCCAATCTACCCAAACTCTCATCTCTGACTCCTCAACTCTGCAATGACGGTCCTCCGTCCCCCCTCCATGTGCTACGGCCCACGGGCAAAGCCCGGGCATTCTTAGGACTCACCTCGTGTGTGTTTCCCTCTTTCTAGGGATGTCCCCGCACTGACTAAAGTCTAAACACAGGTGTTTTCTATATTTTAGCTAGTTTGCTATTTGTTTGTGAAAGAAAGGCAAGTCTGGTATCAGCTTCCCTTTCATGGGTAGAAGCAGAATTTCCTAAACACTGTTTTAAAAATGCACCTGGGTGGCTCAGTCAGTTAGGTGCCGACTTCAGCTCAGGTCATGATCTCATGGTTTGTGGGTTCAAGTCCCACATCGGGCTCTGTGCTGGCAGCTTGGAGCCTAGAGCCTGCTCTGGATTCGGTGTCTCCCCCTCTCTCTGTCCCTTCCATGCTCCTGCTCTGTCTCTCTCTGTCTCTCAATAATAAATAAATGTTAAAAAAATATTTTTAAAAAATGTGCCTCTTTTCGGGAGCCTGGGTGGCTCAGAGGTTAAGCATCTGACTTCGGGTCAGGTCGTGATCTCACAGTTTGGGAGTTTAAGCCCCGTGTCGGGCTCTGTGCTGACACCTCAGAGTCTGGAGTCTGCTTTGGTTTCTGTGTCTCCCTGTTCCTTTACCGTCCCCCACTCATGCTCTCTCTCTCTCTCTCTCTCTCTCTCTCAAAAATGAATAAACAGGGGTGCCTGGGTGGCTCAGTTGGTTAAGCGTCCGACTTCGGCTCAGGTCATGATCTCCCGGTTTGTGGGTTCAAGCCCCGTGTCGGGCTCTGTGCTGACAGCTAGCTCAGAGCCTGGAGCCTGTTTCAGAATCTGTGTCTTCCTCTCTCTCTGACCCTCCCGTGCTCATGCTGTCTCTCTCTCTCTCTCTTAGAAATAAATAAAAAGAACTAAAAAAATAAATAAAAATAAATGAATAAACATTAAAAAGTGCATCTTTCATTATCTGTAATTATAAACCCCACGAGAACATGCAAGTTGATCTATAAACAATGATCTGGGATATGTTTAAGCTTAGTGTGTAAAAGACTTTAATTTCTTTATAATATGTCTGTTACACTTTTGCAAAAGGGAGATAACAAATCATAGAAGCTGAATCACAAAAACTGAAAGCTTAATGGGGAACAAAGAGCAAGAGAAAAGAGGTGATTTCATTTACAGTTTAGGTGAAAATAATGTGCACGTAACCCATGAATGAACACTTTTTACATTTTTTAAATTAAAAATTTGAAAAAGTTTTTTATATCAATCAATTGATTTAAGCCAAGAGGTTAAATACTACATTGCAGGTGTTTAAGGATTATTTATTATTTTGCAATACTGCTTAGCAAACAGGCACCACAGAAAATTTAGTTATGATGGAGCAGAGCCAGGTTTTAAGTTTATTTAGTGTTTCTTGCTTCTTTCAACTGGATTCATTGACAACAAGCTCTTTGTTTATCTCCCTGAGTCATAAATATTTTGTATCCTTAGTTTCTATTGTGAGGAAAGAACAGAAATTTGTAACAGAGCCTGAACAAGCAAAGGATTATTAGGTGGGGTGATTGGCATTACCATTTTTCTTTAAATGAAAAGATTCATGTATCTGATTTCATACATTTCTGAATCAAAGGGCTTATATAATCCTGTTCCCACGTTTCCCTTAATAAAGAGAACTTAGGAACTTTTGCCTTTCGTAGACACCGTGCTTTTTACCCTGTTCACTGGGTATCCTGGAAAAATGGCTGATAAATCGTATTGCTTAAATGAATGTTTGCATAAATGAAGAAATTAATGAGGCTGACCCCCTTTTTTTTTTTCATGAGGTCATTGGCTACATGCTTTTTTTCCTTTGGAGAATTGTCTATTCATATATTGACCTAATTTTCTTTTAGGGTGTTCATATTTTTCTTACTGATCTGTAAGAGTTTTCTTATATGTTAATGATATTCATACCTTTCAAGTCATTATGTCATAAATAGTTTTCCTCATTTGTCTTTCCTCTTTAAACTTACAGAAAATTTTTAAGTATTGAAGGTATTTGCCATCAATATTTTTATGACATTCGTTCTTGCTGTCATATTTTAAAAGTTTCACCATATAAAAGTTATATATTATCTATATCTTCTTCTTTTTTAAGTTTTATTTCAATTCCAGTTAGTTAACATATGATGTAATAGTTTTAGGTGTAGAATTTGGTGATTCATCAACTTACTATACCTTCTCTGGTATTGTTATGTCATTATTTGCTTTCACGTTGTTATACCTTTGAAATTTACTTCCTTTTGAGGTGACTACTGGCAATACAAGTTTTTCCACAACTTACAATATTTTCAATTCTTCGGCAATCGTTGAAATGACATTTTTACTTAGTATTCCTTGCTCGTCTCATATACTAAATTCTTACTTATACACCTGTGTCCGATTGTGGCTTTTATACTTGTTAAACTGACCTGCCTTTTTTGGCACACCTACAATACTGTTTTAACTTTTGTATTTTTTTTTTTGATACTACCCAATATCTGGTTTGGTATTACCTTTTATTTTTTCCTTCATTTTAAAAATGTTATTGAATATTCTAACATTCTTCCATAGGAATTATAGATCCAAAGAAAATATTACATTAAGATTTACATTAGAATAAGGTTAAATATAAAAATGTAAAAATTTTTTAAAGTTTTATTTTTATTTATTTTTGAGAGAGAGAGAGAGAGAGAGAGAGAGAGAATGAGCCAAGGAGGGACTGAGAGAGAGAGGGAGAAAGGGAATCTCAAGCAGGCTCCATGCTGTCAGCACAGAGCCCAGTGCAGGGCTTGAACCCATGAACCATGAGATCATGACCTGAGCCGTGATCAAAAGTCAGACACGTAAGGGGCGCCTGGGTGGTTCAGTCAGTTGAATGGCCGACTTCAGATCAGGTCATGACCTCACGGTTCTAGGGTTTGAGCCCCGCACTGGGGTCTGTGCTGACAGCTCAGAGCCTGGAGTCTGCTTCAAATTCTGTCTCCTTCTCCCTCTGCCCCTCCCCCACTTGCACTCCATCTCTCTCTCTCTCTCAAAAATAAACATAAAAAAATTAAAAACAAAAAGTCGGACAGTTAACCATCTGAGCCACCCAGGCACCCTAAATATTAAAAATTTTTAAATAATTTGATAACTGATACCTTTACAATTGAGTCTTTCTATATGCAATACTTATCTTTATCTTGATTTTAGGAAGAATTCCTATGGGCGCCTACTCCCATCACTTCTAATTCAACGTTGTGCTGGAGGGTCTAGCCAGGGCAATGAGGTAAGACAAAAAATGGCCAATAAGCACATGAAAAGATGCCCAATATCATTAGTCCTTAGAGAAACAAAAATCAAAATCACAATGAGATACTACTTCACACCCGCTGGGATGGCTACAATGAACACGATGGACCACAAGAAGCGGTGATGAGGACGTGGAGAAATGGGGACCTGGGGCTCTCCTGGGGGAATGTAAGATGGTCCAGGTGCTCTGGAAACCAGTCTGGCAGTTCCTCAAAACATCAAAGAGTCCTATGACCCTGAACTTCTATTCCTACATGGGTATCTAAGAGGAATAAAAACACATGTCTATGAATGGCTTATATGCATATGAGTGTTCAGAGAAGGACTTTTCTTAATTGCCGAAAAAGTGTTAACGGTTCAAATGCCTATAGCTGAGGAATATACACAGTAGCGTACAGCTATACAACGGAATGTTATGTGGCAGTAAAAAGTAACAGCTATAGGGGCGCCTGGGTGGCTCAGTCGGTTGAGCATCTGACTCTTGATTTCAGCTCAGGTCTTGATCTCACCGTTCATGAGATCGAGTCCCACGTCGGGCTCTGTGCTGACAGCCCAGAGCCTGCTTGGGTTCTTTCCCTCTCTGCCTCCCTCTCTCTCTCTCACTCAAAATAAACAAACTTAAAAAAAAAAAAAAAAAGAGCTACTGATCCACGTTGCAGTGCAGATGAACCTCAAATACAAGATCCGAAGTCAAAGAAGTCAGTCACAAAAGGCCACATAATGTATGATTCTATTTATATGAAATGTCCAGAAGAGGCAAAGTATGGAGACAGAAAGTAAATTACTGGTTTCTCAGGGCTGAGGACAGGAAGTGACTGACTGCTAATAGCTTCAGGGTTTCTGTTTGGGGTGAAGAAATGTTCTAAGTTTAGATGGTGGGTGAGGGTTCCACAATTCTGTGAGAATCCTAAAAACCTGTGAAATTGTACACTGTAAGTGGGTCAATTTTATGGTTTCTAAATTATATCTCAATAAAGATGTTACTAAAAAGAATACACATCCTTTGGATCTGACATGATCTATACGATTCCCTCCTTTTATATATGTTGGAAATTTCCAAAATAAAATGTTAAAAGAATATACACCCTACGGCATCCAATAAGATGGTTTCCTCTCACTGATTAATGTGATAAATCATGTTAATAGCTTCCTTAGTGTTGAACTGCCTTTTCCTATCTGAAACATACAAACACATCCCTTTCTGATCATAGTACATTGGGTTCTTTTTTAAAAGTTTATTTATTAATTTTGAGAGAGAGAGAGCAGAAGGGCAGAGGGAGAGAGGGAAAGGGAGAATCTCAAGAAAGCTCTGCACTGTCAGCACCCAGTGGGGCTCAAACTCACAAACCTCAAGATCATGATCTGAGCCGAAATCAAGAGTCGGACGCTTAACTGACTGAGCCACCCAGGTGCCCCTACCTTGGCTTTTTAAAACGCTGAGAAATCAACTTGTATTTCATCTGAGATCTTTGCATCCATACTGATAAGTGATAGCGGATGTGGGGCTTTTTTTTCCAGCTTTGTCAACGTTCAGTTTTCCCTTCCTGTAAAAGCCTCTGGGGACGCCTGGGGGGCTCAGTCGGTTAAGTGTCCAGCTTCAGTTCAGGTCATGATCTTGTGGTTCGTGAGTTCAAGCCCCGCATCGGGCTCTGTGCTGACCGCGCAGAGCCTGCTTCGGATCCTCTGTCCACCCACATACATGGACGCACACGCTCGCTCGCTCTCAAAATTAAAAAAAAAAAAACACAAAAAAAACTCTGATATGTTTCAGTCAGGCATGTGACCACACAGAATACTGTGTTTCCTGTTTTCTCCTAATAAGACGGAGGCAGAGGTGTCACGTGGCAGCTTTAGAGATCTTCCCCAATAGGGCTGGCACCTGGCCTTAGTCCTCCGTGCCTGCTGGGAGCGGGGCTGCGGGACGCAATGGCTGGAACTAGCTGTGACGGGCTCAGACCGTGAGGGCGAACCTGCCTGGCCTGGGTGCCCCGCGCGGAGTCTCACAAACCTTCTATAAGGTCCTAAAAAAAATTCAGGGACCAGAGTCCCTGGCGGCTCCCCAGTCGGGGCCCCTCTCTCACTCTTGGGAGCTTTGTACTTTCCTGCAATAAACCCCATGGCTTTGCTCACTCTGTTGTCCGTGAGATTCCTTCTTCGTCCCCGTGAGGCCAGGACCGGCGTCTCTCCCACGTCCGGTAGCAAAGACAAGGTGGCACCATGAACTCGGAGCAGCCTGATCACCGGGGACACCGAGGACACGCTCTGTGCTGCGGGCGGCTCTGACTTCCTACCGGGGGGCAGTTATGTGAGTCTCGTTTGAGTCACCCAACTGCAGGGCCCCTCACTCAACAGCCCAACCTAATTCCACCTGACAGGTCAGACTGACATCAGGGCTGCACCAGCTTCTCAAACTGGGAGGTTTCCAGTTTCCTCCACGGCCTGCGATTGTTTAAGTCGCGTTAAGAACTACCTGATCCTTGAAGCTTTGATAGAAACCGGCTGGAACAAGCTTGGCCCCGCACCTCGTTAGGGCTGTTTCTCTGGCAATTTTTTTCAGTTTCTGCAGCCTGCTTTTTCTGGAGCCATTTTGCATTTTATTGAAGTTTGCAAATTGATTAGGAGGGAAGGTACACATTGTAATCTAACGTATCAGGTCTTTTACCCAGTGTTGTCCCTAATGTTACAGATTTCTTATTCTCCCTCTGTGTTCAGTTTGTTCTATTGAAGGTCTGCTACGCCAGTCGGTCTTTTCATGGACCAACCGGTGGACTTAGTTATAAACTTTCCCGTGTTTTTGCTTTCATATCAATCACTCCCAGCTTTTATCGTCATTCTTTTTTTTTTTAATGTTTTATTTATTTCTAGGAGAGAGAGAGAGACAGCGTGAATAGGGGAGGGTCAGAGAGAGAGGGAGTCACAGACTAAAACAGGCTCCAGGCTCCGAGCTGGCAGTCAGCACAGAGCCCGACGCGGGGCTCGAACCCACAAACCGCGAGATCATGACCTAAGCGGAAGTCGGACGCTTAACCGACTAAGCCACCCAGGCGCCCCTCGTCATTCTTTTTTTGAGAGGGGGGGGGTTCAAGTGAGCAATGGGCAGAGTGAGGAGGGCAGAGAGAGAGAAATTCTCAAAGGGGCACAGAAGGAGAGAGAGAAAGAGGGAGACAGAGAGAAGCGGGGTTCCCCCAAAGCAGGGTTCGAGCTCAGCCAAGTCATAGCTCGAACTCAGGAAATGTGAGACCATGACCTGAGCCAAAGTCCGATGCTTAACTGACTGAGCCACCCAGGTGCCCCTTATTGTCATTCTTATTTTGTTCTTGCTTTTCTGAACTTTGAGTGCCCAACTCTTTAGTTTTCCTTCTCTCCATTATAGTAATAAAAACACTTAAGAGGTGCCTGGCTGGCTCAGTCAGTTAAACAACTGATTCTTGATTTCAGCTCAGGTCATGATTTCACAGTTCGTGAGATCAAGCCCCGTGTTGGTCTCTGCACTGACCTCATGGGGCCTGCTTGAGATTCTCTCCTTCTCTCTTTGCCCCTCCCCTGCTCATGTGAGCGCTCTCTTTCTCTCAAAATAAACAAACTTAAGGGGCGCCTGGGTGGCTTAGTCGGTTAAGCGTCCGACTTTCACTTGGTTAATGATCTCGCGGTTCGTGGGTTCGAGCCCCGCGTCGGGCTCTATGCTGACTGCCAGCTCAGAGCCTGGAGCCTGTTTCAGAGTCTGTGACTCCCTCTCTCTCTGACCCTCCCCTGTTCACGTGCTCTCTCTCTCTCTCCTAGAAATAAATAAAACATTAACAAAAAATTTTAAAAAAACTTAAAAAAACAGTATGAATTATCCTTTGACTGCAGCACTGGCCACTGTGCAAAGCTCTTTGCCATATAGTATATTCATTTTCACTAAATTAAAAAAAATTTTTAATGTTTATTTATTTTTGAGAGACAAAGAGAGACAGAGCACAAGTAGGAAAAGGCAGAGAGGGAAATACAAAATTTGAAGCAGGCTCCAGGCTCAGGGCTGTCAGCACAGAGCCCAACTCAGAGCTCGAACCCATGAACCATGAGATTGTGACCTGAGCAGAAGTTGGATGCTTAACTAAGCCACCCAGGCCCCCCTCATTTTCATTGAATTTTAAAACGTCTGCGGATGAAGTTTTGATTTTCTTTTTGAAGAATGTTATAAAATTTACAAATGGTTACACTCATTTTTCTTTTGGTATTAATTCCTAATTTTATTGCAATATGGTAGACTATGTGGTTTGGGCAATTTCTACTTATTAAAATTTTATTGAGATTTTCTTTTTTGGAAGAATGTATAACTGATTTTTGCACATTTTCTGTGTATTAAAAAATATATTTTTTGTAAGATATAAAGGAAGATGGTGGTATAAACACTTCAGGAAGTAAATGCTCATCTCTTAAATTTACCTGTTTCTGTATATTGGGTTTTGGATTTGGGTTTTAATACATTGTGACGTTGGAAACTATTTTAAAACTAAAATGAGGGCGCCTGAGTGGCTCAGTCGGTCAAGCCTCCAACTTTGGCTCAGGTCGTGATCTCATGGTTCATAGGTTCAAGCCCCGCACTGGGCTCTGCGCTGACAGCTTTGGGTTCTGTGTCTCCCTCTCTCTCTGCCTCTCCCCTGCTCATGTTCTGTCTCTCTCTCTCAAAAACGAATAAACATTAAAAAATAAATAAAAATAGACATTAAAAATTAAAAAAAAACTAAAATGAATACTTGACTTTAGTTTCCTGCTCTTTTCCACCACCTTTCCTTGACTAAGTCTGTACGTACCCTTTTCCTGTCTGGGCCGCTGGCCTGGTCTCCCTCAGGTGGCCCGACCAGTGGCTGCTGGTCTAAAACAGGAAAGCTGGTCCCATTCTGTCACTTAAGACCCAGAGGTGATGGTTTTGAAGCTCTAGTCCTTGTCCCCGAGATGGGTGAGCCCTGAGAAAGGAAGTGACAACATCCCTTCTTGTGGGGTGCTCGCTTAACAAACCCTCCCCCAGGGAACCCCAGCCTCCTGCCCCTCCTGGACGTTGTCAAGGGAACAGAACAGAAGCATCGTCTGTGACAGAACGAGTGACAGGTGATGCCGATCACGGGCAATCCAAGTACTTTGGTGTCTTCTGCCCCTTGGTCTTGGTCAAGTGGGTGCTGCCCACATCTGACAAGAGTTCTGCAGACACAGGTGACAATAATGTCCTGTGCTTTTCTAAGTACGTAAAACCTCAGGGTATGTTTTGTGTATGTTACGTGCAAGGTTTCAGAGGGCCTGGCTGGGTTTGGATGCGAAAACCCACCCAACACTTAGAATCCTGCCTCAGGGGGAGGCAAGGTGGCCCCGTTTTACCAGCGACACTCTCAGGAGAGCACAGCTGGGGACAGGGCGCCTCACTGAGCTATCCCTCTGGTTTGCCTTTACTCCCCCTCTCAGCTCACTGCATCTTGGGTAAGTGTAGTTGGGTCAGCTTTGAGTCTGCAAACTAGGTACCTTAGGTTTCTTAGTAAAGTCACGGCCTTTGAATATTCCAGCCACTCTGGACGGTCTCGAGTGTAAATCGCTTTTGGTGGTCAGAGTGCAGGCGCTGACCCAGGACACTTATTCTCACCACCTCTCAGGCCCACGCGCGTGCACTTTTTTCCTACCCAAGTGTCTAGTTCTGCCCACCTTGGGGTTCCAGGTTGTTCCTACTCAAAAGTGGCTTTCTCTACACAGAGCACTTTCCCAAGCAGGTGTCCTGCCTTGTGACTTTTCAGCTCTACGCTGAGGTCCCAACATGCGGTGGCTCGGATGAGCCTTACGACGGACAGAGATTTCCCCACACAAAACTTTCTTCCACCTCCCTGACAACCAGCGGCGAATACGAAAAGGGCCAGGTCGGCGGAGCGACGTGGCTCGAAGCAGCTCACGGCTTCTCTGGGCCTCCGCGTGCTTAGCTGCGACGTGGCGATAACAGAACCCCCTCAACGAGGCTACTGGGAGGTCATTACTACAAGACACTACGGTGGGCTGAACTGGTCTAGAACATTCCCTGATACTTTCCCTTTCCATAAAGGAAATCAGGAAGAGAGTACGATTGAGCTTGGACTTCTGCGTCTCCCGTCACTCACCTCACTCCTTCACTGCATCCGGCTGCAAGCGATTTCCTGTCTCCTGGTTTCATCTTCACTTGATTCACCTCATCAAAACCGAAGCGATCACTCTGAACAAAGGCGGCAGAGCCCTCAGCAACCCTCAACCGACATGGTGTCGTGGCTGGCGTGGGAGGGGGACCCGGAGGAAACGGGCAGAAAAGCGTGTTGCTGATGTGGCAAAGTGAGGCCCGGACGAAGCGAGGGGAGGGTGGCCCGGGTTTGGTGCAGGTAAACCTGGACCACGTTAAACAGGGCTCCCCCCGGACATGGCGACGTGGGGACGTGGGTGGAAACAGGGCAGTGCCTTCCATCGATTATGATCCATCCGTCGGCCACGTGGAGAGTAAGCGGTCCCTCCTCTGAGGATGACCACACGGCGGCATAATCCTGCCCAGCACTGTCCACAGGGCCAGGTCCCAAATGCTCATGTAGCTCCTACTCCATTAGACCCACAGCCACAGCTGATACCTTTTTTTTTTTTTAAGTTTTTTAAGTTTGTTTATTTTGAGAGACACAGAAGGAGAGGGAGAGAAGATCTCCAGTAGGCCCCTCACCGTCAGCACAGAGCCCGACACAGGACCCGAACCCACAAACTGTGAGATCCTTACCTGAGCCACCTGAGAGTTGGATGCTTAACCGACTGAGCCACCCAGGCGCCCCCACAGCTGGTGTCTCACAGCCCAGCGACTCAGAACCGCCACAGGTGAGCAGCCCCCCCCCCCCCCAGGCACCTGGAGGCCCACCCTCTGGAGGCAAAGGGTGAGCCTCACTGGAAACAGCACCTCCTAACAAGGTTCAAGGACAGGTGAGGGCGGCTCAAGGCAGCAGCACGACCCCCCGGGGGCCCACCCTCAGGAGCCCCGCTGCAGCTCTGGTCCCCAAAGCAAAGGATGGAAGGCGGCGGAACACTTGTCTTCCCTGAGTTCATCCCCGGTGCTGAGCCCGCACTTCTCTCTGGGAAAACCAGCAACTTCGTCCTTTTAATCGCCTGACCAGGAACAGTGAAAACCAGCCCAGGGTCCTTCCACCTGGTCAAGGTTTTCCTGCATAGGGCGGGTGTGGCTGCGGGATGGGGGGCCAGGGTGGCTCCCGGGAGTGCTGGGCCTCCTCCTGCCCTGGCCCTTGGCAGCTGCATCACATGACCACACCCAGCAGCTATGGGGTCAGAAATAAGTCCCTAGTCACTGGCCACAGGTTCATGGAAGCACCTTATTTCGGAAAAAGAAGGGGGAATCTGGAAAGGGACCGTGGGATCCCAGATTGTAGCAATCTGCCACAGCCCACACATAGAGGAAACCCTCTCCCCCAAAGTTTTTTAAAATATTTTTTTAAATGTTTACTTTTGAGCGAAAAGGTACATACGAGTGGGGGAGGGGCAGGGAGAGGATCTGAAGCCGGCTTTGCGCTGACAGCCCGACGTGGGACTTGAACTCATGAACAGGGAGATCATGACCTGAGCCGCAGTGGGACGCTTACCCGCCGGAGCCACCCAGGCGGCCCTCCGCCAGAGCTTTAAGAGGAGACTTCGGAGCTGTGGGGGAATTATGAGATTCCAATGGTGGTGGCAGACCCGGCCCCGTGTTCTTCCTGCCACCAGAGCGGAACACCAACTGGGCGAATTCAGGACAAACGCTTTGGCTCCTTTACATCCGATTTCTGCTTCCCCTCTAACCTTTCCGCCGGAGCTGACAACACGGCCGAGGACCGGAGCCAGGCCCCGCGCCGCCGCAGCCCCCAGCCCTGACGGCCAAGTGCGCCCCTGTCTCACTGGGCAGTTCCCAGTTAATACAGGCAGAGACTCACCACCGTTCAGCCTCTTTCCTCCCCCTTCCCCTCCCCCTGATCTAACGGGGGAATCTGGCAGCCCTGAGCCCCTGACGGCCTCCCCACCCCCACCCCCATCCCCAGCAGGCCACCGCGGTCCTGTCCGCGTATCTACACGTCTGTGTTTCCCTTAATAACCCACGGGAGGGGCCTGGCCAGGAAGGGGAAGGAAATGGCCAGCATGAGGCCCTTGTCTGCGCCCCTCGGGATTAAATGAGATGAAAAATCAAAGCGGCCAGGCTGTTGGCAGGTTGTCAGTTAACAGTCAGTCCCTAAGAAGAGCCCCCGCATATTTATGTCCATAAACCCGGTTTACTAAAGAAATTCTAGAGCAACACGCATCCCAACCCTCTTCTCAAAATTCTAATTTAGCTTTTTTGTTCTTTCATTAAAAATGATTTCCACCTCTGAAACTTCCCAGAAAGTATGCCCCCTTGTCTTCTGATCTTTTAAACACATCATCAAGAGACATAATCATTAATGTCCTGTGAGCAGAAAAGGAGGTTTATAAACCAGGAATGCATTCTCTGGGAGCCAACCTGGGGACGACTCCGCGGGTAGGCTGTATCGGCTTCACTGGCGAGGCCCCAGGATGAAGCGGGGCCTGACTCAGGCGTGTCCCTGTGGGCATCGCACGTCCCCGGACCCCGTCCCAGGAGAGGGCGTCAGCCCGGCCGCCCGCCGCGGGGCAGGGACGGTCAGGGTGCCCAGGTAGCAGGCAAAGCACACACCTTATTTCTGAGGCCTCGTTCACTGCAGCCCAACATAAGCTGGCAGGATGAGACGGAAGAAATGCGTCACAACAGGCTCACATTCTCCGTGAACCACCATGACTTTACCGAACGCCCCTCCCCCAGGGGGCTGGGGGCAGGCCAAGGTCATCAAGTCCGGGGCATTTTCCCGGCACCGCCCGGTGCAGCAGGTCTTCGCCTACTGCCCTGGGCACGGGTCTCATGCCACTCACAACCGCCCCCCCCCCCAACAACAGGTGCAGACATGCGTCTTCTCCTCCTGTGACCGGAAGGGACGCTTTTATTCCAGTTCCCTCAACGCTTTGAAGTTAGCATGAAAAATGTTATAAAAGGACTACAGAGCAGAGTCGGGGGAAAACATTACATGGGTTTAGAGGATGCGGCCTTGCAGCCGCGCGCGGATGATCCGCAAACATCATACACCGCGGCGCGCCCGTCACCACCCTGCACGGCTGCTTTGCCGCGGAGTCTTCGGTGCCGAGGGTCTCCTCCTTGGTCCCTGTGATCGCACTTTCCCGCCGAGCGCAAACTGCTGTTACAGCTTTCCTGCCTCTGAAGGGGGCGGTGAAGTCAGGAGTCCCAGGAAGCTTTGCCAAAGGCAACGGAGTCCACATGAGTCTTAAAGAAATGGTGTGACACGTGGCGCCCACTGGACGCAGTACCTCAAGGAAATGAGGAACGATGGTGATTGTGGTGCGGGGGGGGAGGGGGGGCAGCTTCATTTCTGACACAGAAGCATCGAGAACGTCAGCACACGATGCCAGGAGCCCGCTCCCCTCTGCACTTCCGCCTGGTGGCTCTCGCCCTCCACGCCGCCCACTCCTGGGCTACATCCTGCACAGCTTCAGTGGAAAGTTCTCGGTGATGAGGTGATCAGGGTGGAGAAGTACAACAATGTTAACCTCAAATTCTGAGAAAAGAAAGGACAGGTGTCACACTCCCCTGCCCCGCAGCAGAGGCCGCACGCCCACCGCCCCGGCTCTGAAAGGTGAGGGCCATCCAGGGGTCCCTAGGGGCTTCTGTGCCCACGACCCACAGCGGTCATCCCCGGCTTCTGGGGGAACCAGCGAGGGCTCTAAGGGAATTCGTCTTCTCTCCTTGGAGCCGCAAGGGGTCAGCTTCTCAAGCACACCTTCCTTGTCCTCAGGCCTTACCAGACAGAACCTCCTAGAATCCTTCCTGCTCACTCATACTTTTGCCTTTTTTTTTTTTTTAACTTCCACCAGTTCTTAATCAAAGAGCCGACGTGTGGACCCACATCTCCCACCCCAGATGAGAAAGTGCGGTGTCACAGTTGTTCTTTGGGGGAGGGGTGAATTCACCTGACGTGCCTGTTTCAACAACCGACTCTTGCTGACGAGGGCTAAGGGTGCGTGTGAGCCACACCGAGGGGCCAGGGCCGAGCACCAAAGTCGCTCAGCTGTGGAAGGGGCCCTGGGGTTACCTCACCCAAGGCCCCTGAGCCCCCCCCCCCAGGCTGGCTCCTGAGGACAGTGTCCCCGTGGGCATCTGCCTTCGCCCGAGGGGGGGTGCGGCCCTGACAGAAGCCATGCACAGCAGCGCCCCATCTCTCTCCTCACTGTGGTCATCGCCACGGCACCAGCACGGCCCTCTGGGGTCCAGGTGGCCATTGTCTTCACCATCCCCCCACCACCCTGCTGTCCTCCCTGGAGGGGCCACAGCGTGGCTGGACGCCCAGCAGGCAGGGAAAGCCCAGGTCAGGGAGCTGTCCCTCCCAGCGTCCCGCAGCCCGGGAGCCCCGAACGAAACAAAACTCTTGATCAGGCCTGAAAAGCATTACTGGTATCCTGGCTGACGGACTGAGGGCGTGATTTATATGGAAGAATCACAGGCGCAACATGACATGTTATAAATCTGACAGAAACAGCATGCAAAAAATTAGGTGCTTAAAATACAGAACAAAAATGTTTCAATCTCTTGAAGTTTATGTAGAAAAACCACGTGAGAAACCAACACATAAGCTCCTTCTGACTTAAAATCAAAGTACTCCGAGGTAAAACACGGCCTTCAGGAAGCCGTGTGCAGCGTGCGGGGGGTGATGCTGGCGGCCGGGGTGGGGGGGTGGGGGGGCATCACCTGCAGGAGGGCAGCGGGCCGAGGAGGGCCCTCACCCTGTGCCTCGGCCCCTCACCCTGTGCCCCGCACCCCTGCTGGGGACACACACAGGTTATTCGACAACCATCACACACAGCTTTTTTGAGAAAAGTCACGGTGGCTTCGCTGGGCTCCGATCGGACCCCACACTTCCAGCAGACGTCGCCGCCCTTCCACGTGTTCAGCCAACAGCCGAGTCTGGTGCCCTCTTTGCTCCGGACACGCTGTCCTGACCTTGCGGTGCGCCTCTTATGCTGTAACGTTGCAGGTAAGAGCACACAGGGGCTCCACGAATATTCATCATGGAAAGTGACCCCGACACCCCCAGTGGGGGAAGAGCAGCCTGGACAGTGATCCACACGGAGGGGTACAACCGAGTCTCCCCCATGTGCCAGCCCGACCTCCTCACGCACGCGGTGGGCTGCTCCCGTGCTGTGCTTGCTCCTTCTGGACGCTGCGGGGCCTGCCTTAGGCCACACGGTCCCCCCCCCCCCCCCCGTGGAGGGCCCGCACGTGTCACGCACACCGTCAGGGACGGCACGGCAGCCCCCCGGGGGAGCTTCTGTGGAGCGGCCGAGGCACTGTGTGCTGTGGGCCAAGCCCGCCCGCCCCAAGCAGACCCACGTGTACACTGCAGGCTCTCAGGGGGCCCCGTACGCAGGCCCCCCCTTGACGGGACGTGCTTACCCACTTTGAAGTTGGTGGTCTCCAGCGTAGGGCAGGTGAACAGCCGGGGGAAGACCATGTATATGGGGACGGACAGGCTGCGACAAACGTCTCCGTCAGCGATCTGAATATTCTGAATCTCCGTGGCGTCCCGGGCGTATCCTTCTGCACACCCTGCGTGGGCGGACAGTGCCGAGCGGTCAGGGAACAGCGGCTGTCCAGACAAGCAGAGCGACAGAGCCTGGGGCCTCCGTGAGCGCCTGTGTCATCACCCTCACCAGCGCGGCCACCTGCCCCACAGGACTAGGGCTCCCTCCCTCCGCGTCGCACTTTCTCACGCAGACATTTCTGGAACCAGCAGGTCAGCCACGGGGCCCTTACCGCACGTCTCCACGCGGACCAGCTGCAGCTCTATGCTCCGGATGGCGGCCTCCGAGCTCTCTACCACCAGCTCACCCGTCAGCGGCTGTGTGATGACACAGTTGGTTGAGTTGAGATGGCCTCGGATGAGAAACTTGGGGAGCAGGGCTCTCTGCAACAGAACAAAAACAGACATCAGGGACGGGAGGTGCCAAGGGAAAGCCCTCCACGGTCAGTCACCTGGTACAAATAAAAACGGAAGGCAAAGTTGGATAATTTTGATAAAACCCATGGGGACCTCGTTTTACAAAATGGGAAAGTACAGTGGTGTTCACGTCGCCCATCGGGTCAGTCGACAGACTGAATTTTTCAACAGCTCCCTGCAGATGGCAGGTGCCTGCACGGCCCGTACAGAATGGCCAGCCCCACAGAGCTGTCCTGACCCCCTAGATCAGATCTGGAAAGCTCCTCCTTACCCAGCAACATGACATAGACACGCCTGAAGAAGTCGCCAATGGTGTTTAAGTGCAACTGGTCACATGTACACTCGAAAGGCTTTAAAAAAATAATCAACTTAAAATGCTCCCAATTATGTGCGCCTGGATGACTGAGTGGGTTAAGTGTCTGACTTCAGCTCAGGTCATGATCTCATATTGTGGGTTCGAGCCTCGCGTCAGGCTCTGTGCTGACAGCTCAGAGCCTGGAGCCTGCTTCGGATTCTGTGTCTCCCTCCCTCTCTGCCCCTCTCCTGTTCACAATCTTTCTCTCTCTCAAAAATAAATAAACATTTAAAAAAAAATGCTCCCAATTATGCAATTTTGAAAAGTCAAAGCATTTATTTCAAGGACATTAAAAAAAACTTTTATTTTTATTATTTATTTTGTTTTGTTTAGTTTATTTTTTTAAGTAGGCTTCTCTCCCAGCACAGAGCCCAATGTGGGGCTTGAACTTATAACCATGAGATCAAGACCTGAGCTGAGGGGCACCTGGGTGGCTCAGTCGGTTAAGTGTCCGACTTTGGCTCAGGTCATGATCTCACCGTTCGTGGGTTCAAGCCCCGCATCGGGCTCTGTGCTGACAGCCTGGAGCCTGCTTCAGATTCTGTATCTCCCTCTCTCTCTGACCTTCCCCTGCTCACGCCACGTCTCTCTCTCTCTCAGAAATAAAAACATTAAAAAAAAAAAAAAAAGACCTGAGCTGAGATCAAAAGGCAGACACACTCAACCAACTAAGGCACCCAGGCGCCCCTCAAGGACATTTAAAGACAACAATTTTCACCAATGCTGGACTAAAACCTCCTGGACCCTTTCTCTGCACACCTAAGAACCTGGTTATGGGTAGATGACGATTTCTTGTGGGAAGCAGATATGAACTGAGGCAACTGTTCTAGAAGCCTTCACCTCGATGGCCGCAGTTACTGAAGTTGGGGTTTGAAGCACCACCATCTCACAGAGACAAAATGCAGCCGCAAATGGGAACCATGCATATAATCTAACATTTTCTAGCAGCTCTATATAAAAAGTAAAAGGAAACAGTAAAATCAACCAAGAGATCCGAACTCTCCCTCCCACAAACATTCAATATTAAAAAATTACATTTATATTCTCTTTTTGAAATCCAGTCAGTACCTGCCACCCACAGCTCATCCCAGTTTAGACCAGCACCCTCCCCGGGGGGCTAGCGGTCACCATGGCTGGTGCTGCCTGGTCGGCCAGCACTGGGACTGGGGAGCGGGGGACCCACACCTGCCAGCCCTAGAGGCAGAGAGCTCTAGAAAAGTCTCGATTCAAGACAATGTTCTAAAAATAACTATAAGTAGAGAGGCTATTTGTTCCAAAACATAAAAAGCAGTGGCAATCTACATTAAAATTCTTCTGGGCAACTGACAGAAAAGAAAAGCTCTCAACGCCCAGCTGAAGATCCTGACTGAACACTCACTTTACCCCTCCTCCCAGGGACATGATGTTGCCACAAACAAAAAAGAAAAAATGAGCCAGGGGCGCCCGGGTGGCTCAGTCAGTGAAGCATCAGACTTCAGCTCAGGTCATGATCTCACAGTTCGTGGGTTCGAGCCCCATGTCAGCCTCTATGCTGACAGCTCAGAGCCTGGAGCCTGTTTCAGAGTCTGTGTCTCCCTCTCTCTCTGACCCTCCCCTGCTCATGCTGTCTCTATCTCTCTCTCTCAAAAAGAAATAAAACATTAAAAAATTAAAAAAAAAAAAAAAAAAAAAAAAAAAAAAAAAAAAAAAAAAAAAAAAAAAAAAAAAAAAAAAAAAAAAAGAGCTACACAGAGAGGCTGTGCGGGCCGCCACGTGGCGACTAGCCCGGTCAAGTGTTTCTGTGAATAAAAGCGCGCAGACCTGGGTGATTCGGTCGGTTAAGCGGCCGACTTCAGCTCAGGTCATGATCTTGCAGTTTGCGGGTTCAAGCCCTGCGTCAGCCTCTGCTGACAGCTCAGAGCCTGGAGCCTGCTTTGGATCCTGTGTCTCCCCTTCTCTCTGCCCCTCCCCTGTTCATGCTCTGTCTCTCTTTCTCAATAATAAATAAATGTTAAAAAAAAAATTACAAATAAAAGTACATGGACAGTGAAGCCCCCAGGGGTCCCGGGGACGTCCTGAGGTTTCCAGAGCGCTCTGCACACTGTTCCCAGCGGGCCCTGGGCAGCCCTGAGATCAGAGGCGGGGCCCACCCAGGGAAGGTGGAGGGGAGAGGTCACAGCGGGGATGGAACCGGCCATGAGCGGCCTCTGGGGTCAGCATGTCTCCCTCAAGGCTGACTTCCTACCCACGACGCTCCCAAAGCAGGCTGGGTAAGTGTCCCCATTTACAGTCACCATGCAGGACGATGAGGCTGTGACCCCAGAAGACGGGCCACCTGCACACCCTCCAAGAGAGCCCACAGGGCCGAATGCCCCTCCCCTGCAGCAAAGCCCCTCACGTCAGGGTGTGCGTGTGTGACTAGGACAGCCTACTATCTGGGCTAAGGACAAGGAGTCTAGTTAACAAGGCCATATATATATTTGATCCTCATTTATGTAAATATAAGCTGACAACCAAGAACCAATAAACACCTGAGGAAAATAAAAGCAAGAAAAAGAAGCCAATGCTGGCAAACAGGATAACGAGGAAGAGAGCGGAAAGGCCGTGCATCTGCAGTAAGGGTGCTATCTTGTGAGAGGCACGGCTTGGAGACGAATCACACTGCTGCTGAAGTAAACGTTTCCAGGGGCACCTGGGTGGCTCAGTCGGTTAAGTGTCCGACTTCAGCTCAGGCTCATGGTCAGTGAGTTTGAGCCCCGCATCGGGCTCTGTGCTGACAGCTAGCTGTGGGAGGCACACCTACCTCTCGGACGTTCTGCAAGGTTTCGGGCGTGATGGTGAAGTCCACGGGGCTTGGCGTCAGCTTCCCCTTCTGAGGCTAAAACAGGAGGTAAAACCAACATCAGCTGCTTGAAGGCCAAGGGCTCCCCGCATCCAACTTCCCTTTTCCGCTTTTAAAGAAACGAAGGGCGGCAGAATGGATCGGAGGGCGGGGGAAGCCGGCAGTGAGAGGCAGCCCACCCGGGTTCTACACACACAGTTCTGTCAAGGCAACGTCGTGCTCTTTGCCCCATTTCTTCACCCCCTGTGACTCAGTCTCCTCATCTGTAAAATGAGGCATCACTTTCTTAATCTCTCAGGTCCCTTTCAGGTCCAGGAATTAAAAATGAGACCTAAGAACCAAGGGTAGTATTACTGGAAGGTACTCATTTTAAAGCTCTTAGAGTGAGAGCTGACACGAAGCTCCTCTGATGTGCTGCCGAAGGAGCACGGCAACCCTACGGGGTGCTGGCCCCGGCCCTGGCCCCACTTCACAGACAAGCACAGAGAGGCACAGAGAGCTCAGGCGGTCTCAAGTGGCAGAACCGAGATTCAAACCCAGGTGTTCTGGCTCCGATGCCGGCGCTGTCGGCCACCCAGCCGTCCAACTGGCAGAATGAGTCGCATAGAATAATCATGTCACCACAGTCAGCGGACACACTCACATCCACGCTATACAACTGCAGGACCCGTCACTCCCGCCAGGCTTCCCTGGGGCCTGCCTGGCGGGTTTCACTCCGGCGCCAGGGTCCAACGGCCACTGATGCCGAGATCCCAGGTGCCAAACTGCCAAGTGTCCTCATTCACCAAAAGCGTAGTCTAAGCAATATTCTTCTTATTGATAGGTTCATGCACATATTCTTCCACACAGCATTTAAAGGACTATTTAACTTGTCGAATAGAGATCACAGGGTGGTTTTGGCCTTCTCGTGAAATAATTCATAAAGAATAGGATTCTTTTTGTGTGTGTTTTTTGAAGATTTTATTTTTAAGTAATCTCTACACTCAACGTGGGGCTTGAACTCACAGCCCCGAAATCAAGAGTCGCACGTTTCAGCAACTGTGCAAGCCAGGTGCCCCAAGAACAGAGTTCTTTTTAAAAATTTTTTGGGGCGCCTGGGTGGCTTAGTTGGTTGAGCGTCCGACTTTCACTTAGGTCATGATCTCGTGGTTTGTGGGTTCGAGCCCGCGTCGGGCTCTGTGCTGACTGCCAGCTCAGAGCCTGGAGCCTATTTCAGAGTCTGTGTCTCCCTCTCTCTCTGACCCTCCCCTGCTCACGCTGTCTCTCTCTCTCTCTCCTAGAAATAAGTAAAAATATTTTTTTAAAAATGTTTAATGTTTGTTTACTTTTGAGAGAGACAGAGAGACAGAACGTGAGTGGGGGAGGGGTGGAGAGGCAGGGAGACAGAATCCGAAGCAGGCTCCAGGCACTGAGCTGTCAGCAGAGTCCAACGCGGGGCTTGAACTCACAAACTGTGAGATCAAGACCTGAGCCCAAGTCAGATGCTTAGCCACCTGAGCCCCCCAAGCGCCTCCCAAGAACAGGGTTCTTGAAGCCTGGGTGTTGGTGAGATGCCGGGGGCAGGGAGGAAGCCGCAGGTGGCCCAGCCATTGATGCCCACCTTGAGCTGACTTCTGATAGGGCCCTGTGGTCATGAGTGGGCCGGGGGTCAGGGGTGGGGGGAGACCTGGCCCGGAGTCCAGCTCTGGGCAGGGAGCCGAATTTGGTTTATTCTCCTTCACAAAGTTGGAGGTTCTTTTTGTTAAAGACATTAAAGGGTGTATGTCTCTTTTACAGAATAATCCACATTAAAGAAAAAAAAATATGTTTTGCTTCCACGTGAAGACCTTTGATAGAAAAAAGGAAAATACCTAAATCACATGACTTCCAAAAAAGATAAATGTTTTTAACATTTTATATAATACATTGTCCCTAAAAGAGACACTTAAACGGTGATTATTAAAAATTTAATAAGGGGTTAATGATAAATGTTGAAGTCCTAAAAAATCACAAAAATGATGCAAATCTTCTACACAAAAGATTTAAGTCTTATAGTTTTTACAGAACCATTACTACAAGACATCCATGGGGGGCACCAGAGGGGATCAGTAAGTTAAGCGTCTGACTTTGCTCAGGTCATGATCTCCGGGTTCATGGGTTCGAGCCCCACATCGGGCTCTGTGCTGACAGCTCAGAGCCTGGAGCCTGCTTCAGATCCTGTGTCTCCCTCTCTCTCTGCCCCTTCCCTGCCCATGCTCTCTGTCTCAAAAAAAAAATTAAAAGCAAAAACAATTTTTTTAAAAAAAATTAAAAAAAAAAAGACATCCATGGACATTTCATAACAGTACAAAAGAAATGCAACCGCCAATTTTCCACAAAGCCAACATGCCTCCCCACAGAGCTCTGTAGAAGCCCCCATTTCCTAAGGCACATGGCAAGGACCATGAGGTACATGTGGGTCCCTAGGAGGCAGAGCCCTGCACAAATCCTACGAAGGTAAGTGAGCCAGGGAAAGCTAGTGGCTCCTGTCTGTCCAGTTTGGTGGCATCTTGACATGGCCGGCGGCCCCACAGAACCACATGCTCCCGGAGCACGCATGGGTCTCACCCAGCTTGGGGAGGCCCTCATAAGGAGTGTTCTGGAGACAGCCCAGGGAGTGCCCAGGCCTATGTGCTCTGACACGTCCAGGTTCTGTTCACTCGGGTGCCTCCAGGAACCCCAGTTTGGTTACCTTCCATCTCCCAAACTGCTCAGAATCAAATCAAAGGCAGAAGCACTGCATTCTGAGTCTAGGCAGCTACTCAAGGGGGGAACGAGGCGAGCGCTGGCCCCGAGAAGGCAGAAGCCGGCCCTGACTTAGAGGTGTGAGCCCAGGGAAGGGAAGGATGACACAGGGCCTGCAGAGAGGCCCAGGGGAACAGGGAATCCATTGCTGAGGACATCCGTCACCGCGTGTCACACCTACGGTGGGCACGGCCTGTCACTGCTAGTCTCTGCATGGTGACCAAGGAACAGCACAGATGAGCTGCAGACTCTGCCTTGAATTCACCCAGAATGGCCGACAGCCGTGGGGGAGGGGGATCCAGTTCGTGCAGTCGGCACATGAAAGGGAATTTTAAAGAATATGTTGTCACTGCAAAGTATTACCAGAAAGTGTTGGCAGAGGGGCGCCTGGGGGTCTCAGTCAGTTAAGCGTCCGACTTCAGCTCAGGTCATGATCTCATGGTTCATGAATTCAAGCCCCGCGTCAGGCTCTGTATTGACAGCTCGGAGCCTGGACCCTGCTTCGGATTCTGTGTCTCCTTCTCTCTCTGCCCCTCCCCTGCTCACACTCTGTCTATGTCTCTCAAAAATGAATAAAATGTTAAAAAAATTTATTAAAAAAAAAAAAAAAGGTGTGGGAAGAAGCGACCCACCCTGACCCCAAGGGTCCCTGTGTGTTCTCGCTGAGTGTGCCGACAAGATAAGGCCCTGGCCGTCCTTTATCTGGGCCGGGCCACTGCTCTGGGTTCTGTGTGGCCGTCGTGACCTTGAGAAAGGAGGAGCTGTGTGCCTTCCCTCGGAAACAGGCCTGCTGCTTGCTACTACAGAGGTGGCCCCCGCCCACCGCTCCTTAGCTGAGTCACAGCCACCGTGGGGCTCTGGTCCTGCTAAAAGACATGACGTCCCTGTCTCGGGGACCCTGGGGTCTCTTCCCCAGCAGCCGTGACCCAGCACCTGGCGAACTTCTCGGCTCATAAATGAAGGAAATACCAGACCCTATGGAAGAGTCCTATCCTTCAGCACAGAGCCCCAGACGTGGCTTACAGCAGAGTGAACGATGAACTCGCAGGTCTTTGTCAAGTCCTTGGCCAACAGAGACCGCCTCATGTCACAGCGCAGGGTATACTGGAGGGAGAGATCGGACAGGAAAATGTCGTTTTAGTGGGATGTGCATTCATCTGGGACCTGTATCCAGAGACACAAGTAAGTCAACATATATCAGGACTTGGTCCAATTACTCTGTTACATGAAACTAATATACATACGAGGGGGAGCCAGTGCTCGAAAGAAAGATATTTCCGTAAAAAGACCGAAACCAAAACCACACTTCAGGGTGATTCCACAGCATCCCGTGGTTGACCCGCCACACAAAGGCACAGAGTCCCATGTGAGAGCAGCATGATCGAGCAGAAAGGATGTGCACCTAGAAGCCAAAGCTGGTTCAAAGCCAGTCATCTGTCTTAGTGTATGAACCCTGACAAATAAGACAACCTATCTAAGCGCTGGGCTCCTGCGCTTTAAAGTGGGGACATTAGTTCTTGCCTGCAGCAAGGGCCGGATGAGACAATGTGTGACGTACACTTGGTTCACGGCCTGGCACACAGCAGCTCTCAGTAAAATGGTAGCTATTTTGTGATGAGGATTAGAAAACACACAGGAAGGGAGTGCCTGGGTGTCTCAGTTGGTTAAGCATCCGTCTTCAGCTCAGGTCATGATCTCACAGTTCGTGGGTTCGAGCCCTGCATCGGGCTCTGTGCTGACAGCTAGCTCAGAGCCTGGAGACTGTCTTCAGATTCTGTGTCTCCTTCTCTCTCTGATCCTCCCCTGCTCATGCTCCCTCAAAAATAGATAAAACGTTAAAAAAATTTGTTTTTTTAAAAGAAAAAAATGAAAACACACAGGAAGGACGAGGAGCCCCAGGACAGCACCCAGCACATCACAGACCCCCTTAAGAAGCGAGTTGCCTATAGCACCATGTGCACAGCTTGGCACCAGGGGCCAGAGCAAGATCGGAGTCAGACCCTGCACTGAGGAGTCCCCGGTTTACTGAAGAGACGAATATGCAGTCATAGTACTTGATATCCGGGACTCCAGGGCACCTTAAAACTAGGTCTCCATATTTTAATTGGTTTTTAAATGTTTATTTTTGAGAAAGAAAGAGACAGACAGACAGAGCATGAGCGGGGAAGGGGCAGAGAGAGAGGGAGACACAGAATCCGAAGCAGGCTCCAGGCTCTGAGCTATCAGCACAGAGCCCAACACGGGGCTTGAACCCAAGAACCGTGAGATCATAACCTGAGCCGATGTTGGACGCTCACTGACTGAGCCACCCAGGTGCCCCAGCTCTCCATATTATAACCTTAAGGAGTAATAAAGAAGGGGACATCTTTTAAAATGTTTATTTTGGAAAATTCAAACATATGCAGAAGTAAAGAGAAGAGAATGAAGACGCCCCACATATCCAGGAGCCAGCTTCCATAGCGGACGATGCACAGCCGATCTTAACCATTCTCCCTCTCGGCCCTTCCCCGTCTTACACAGATGTACCCTCGGTACGAGGTGATGTGGACAGGTAAGGCAGGCAGCATCCCTCTAACTGTTAACCTGTGTTCAATTTCTCTGCTGTGCCTGTGCTATTTTTCTGAACTGGCCACTGCTGGTGTGACCTCCTGCGACACAGGCCCTGTTCCACCCAAGGAAGAACGGGCCCCTCCGCGGGGCTGGTCCCCAAGCTAACACCTCCGACCTGGGACTGTTTCTTCACATGGTTCTGGTCCATCGGTTGACACGCTGACTGGTCACAAAACTCTACAGCATGATCACAGTCTTAATGTTAATCTTAAAAAAAAAAAAAATCACATAACCCACATTGAAGCAAGTTAGCTACTGTTTTCATCATCCGGGAAAACTTTAGAATTCTGTTAAAAAATATTTTGTATAACTAGGGCTACGTGCATGGTTGAATCAAGAAGCTACGTTACTATGAACAACCTGTGCACATTAGATAAGAAGCTAGTATATGTTTAAGGTGCTACTGGGAGATTAACACACTTTTTTTAATTTGTTTGTTTATTTTGGAAGAGTGAGAACATGAGCAGGGGAGAGAGAGAAAGAGAATCCCAAGCAGGCTCTGTACTCTCAGCACAGAGCCTGATGTAGGGCTCGAACTCATGAACTGTGAGTTCATGACCTGAGCTGAAGCCAGGAGTTGGACGCCTAACCAACTGAGCCACCCAGATGCCCCTAAAACATCTTTCTAAAGAAACATCCCTTGTCTGCAAAGATCTTTATATATATATTTTATATATTTACAAATATATAAAATATACATATACTTATATATTTATAAATATAAACTTATGCATATAAATATATAAATCTCTGCAGACAAGGGATGTATATGCATGTGTGTGTGTGTGTGTGTGTGTGTATATATATATATGTATATATACACACTTATATACACACACACACATACATATATTCTCTTTTGAGATTTCAATCTGGTCTCCCCAGCCAGACAACTCAGTGAGGACTGGTACTGTAAGATCTGTGTACATGTGTGTGCACACATGTGTGTGTATATGTACAGTGTGAGTATGTGTGTGTGTATGCATGCATGTGTTTCCTCTCTCTCCGGTACAGCCCACACGCTTGTCTAGCACAGGCGACATTCTGTTCGGCCCCGCCTGGTCCCTTGTATTCTTTTCCCAACGGCAACTTCCCCTTCCTGATTTTTATTCTCAGGCCTTTGGCAGTGCTGACCTCCTCCGCCCTGCCCCCCAGAAGTGACCAGGAAGCCAGGCCTGCTACCGGGACTATCAGAAAGAACTCTGCCTGCCAGGGGCCACACCAGCCATACACTGGCAGCCAGCTTTGCCACAGCCAGGGAAGAGCCCTCCTGAGCACAAGGTCCGCATGGAAGGTGACCGAGCTGGACACACAAGTGGCCCCTGGAACTGCCAGTTCTGTGATCTGACAGCCTTTTGTAGGCGAAGTCAGTGTGAGCTGGATTCCGACAACTTGCAGAGGAGTGAGAACAACAGGCATCCACTTCTGGCCACGGAACGTTTTTAAGTGTGAAGGCAATAATTCCTAACATGGGGCAGCTGCTAACCAGCAAGGGTGGGGAGGACGGTGGAGAAGAGGAACTCGCTGATATTTGTTCCAGGAATTATGTTAATTCTCTTACATGCACCATCTTCATCAATTCCAATACGACTGTTAGGATAATGTAAGGAGAGCTACCAGTCCCTCATTTATATTCAGTCACTCAACACATATGGACTCGGAACATTCCACATGCCAGGCACTGAGCTAACTAAGCACTTCATGCCAAGACCTCACTGATCCCCTTGGAGGGGGTCATGGAGGCTGCTGGGGGTCACAGAGGTAGGATGTGAATTTACACCTGCTGGCTGCCAAAACCCGTGCTCTGCATGTCTACGCAACACCTAACTCAAGCCCAGATCTGTCTGCTGCAGAGCCCTGGCTCGCGCTCTTGCCCGACTGTGACGAGGTGGTCCAGGAGGTAGGAGCTTCCGCGGGTCAGAGCGGGTCAGGACGGCTGGACCGCGCAGGGCTCCAGAAGGAGGTGCAAGACTGGATCTTTTATGACCGTCCGTAAACATGGAGCCAACAGGAAGAAGAAAGAAGACGCCTGTCAACAGATTTGAAGCAGACTCCGGAAAGGATATGCTGAACCCTGAGAAAGAATGACTAGCATCTGGACAAGCTAATTGTGAAATACGACTTCGCAGACATGGTGGTGCTGCTGTATGTTGTGTTGTTATAGCACAAAACCCCGCTACGATGGCCACGTGAGGGGAACCAACATAACAAAACTTGCCTACGATTTACACAACTTTTAAAAGAAAAGGCAGCTGCACAAGGGACAGCTAGGGAGAGCGGGCAGATTGCTGGAGGCACGATCTACTCACAGAGGTGAGAACAGGCCTAAGAAGAATGAGGCCAAATAGCACTGAGCCTCCGGCTAAGGAGGAACAAGGAAACCCAGACCCTGCATGCTGCGCACTTCACACTGGCTACATCTTAAACCCTTTATTCATTCCGTCTTATGGCTTTTACTATTTTTACAGTATGTTCCTACAACACAATTCAAATTCTAACTGTAAAATGTCTTGGCGCCCACATCATTTGAGAAAGAGGATGTTACTAGGTTTAACAACACTTTTTTTTTTAATGTTTTATTTATTTTTGAGAGAGAGAAAGAGACAGTGTGAGCAGGGGAGGGTCAGAGAGAGAGGGCGACACAGAATATGAAGCAGGCTCCAGGCTCTGAGCTATCAGCACAGAGCCCAACACAGGGCTCGAACCCACGAATGGTAAGATCATGACCTGAGCCAAAGTTGGACGCTTAACCGACTGAGCCACCCAGGCGCCCCTAACAATACTTTCTATCCAGTTTAACAAGACTTTCTATCCAAAGTAAACTGCCCATGAATCTGCAGGGTAAGCATGGTAAGCAGTGGTGTGAAGGCCAGCCCTGTGGCCACGGGTTGGTGCTGTGGACTTTCCGTGGCACTTGCTCTGCTATAAAACAATAATGCCAGCGAAAGACCCATCTAGAAACCGAATGAATGAATCAACCAATCAATGAAAAATGGTCTTAAAAAACCCATAATCCTAGTCTCTCTCAAGAAGTATATTTTCAAGGCACGCCTGGCTGGTTCAGTCCGTGGAGCATGTGATTCCTGATCTCAGGGTTGTGAGTTTGAGCCCCACTTTGGGCTCTGCACTGAGTGTGGAGCCTTCTCAGGATTCTCTCTGCCCCTCCTCCATGCACTCTCTCACGTTCTCCCACTCTCTCATAAATAAATAAACATTTTAAAAAATAAATTAAATTGGGGCGTCTAGGTGGCTCAGTCAGTTAAGCATCTGACTTCGGTTCGGGTCATGATCTTGCTGTTCAGAGATGAAGCCTGGTGTCGGGCTCTGTGCTGACACCTTGGAGCCTGCTTCCGATTATCTCTCTCTCTGCCCCTCCCCCCACTTGTGCTCTGTCTCTCCCTCTCTCTCAAAAATAAACAAACATTAAAAACATTTTTTAATGAATTAAATGAAATCCTTTTTAAAAAGGGTATTTTCTCAGAAGGAGCGATGACAAATTTGAATGTGAATTGGGAATGAGATGGTATTTGAGAATTTCTGTCAATTTTGATAGGTGTGAAAATGTCACATGGATTCTGCAGGAGATGGACACTGAGGTACCTCGAGATGAAGTGTCAAGATTCTGTAACTAACTTTGAAACAACTGAGGAAAGATAAATACAGATGAAACAAAGGTGGCAAAATTCTAATAAATGTTGACTCTAGGTGATAAGCTCTTATAAATCCGAGGTCAGAGTAAGAAGAAATCTCCTCACCTTTAGAAATGTGTGAGCTATTTGGGGAAGTAGAGAATTCCAGGTTGTAGCATTCTGAAGTTAACCCTCAAGGTGTAAGATCTGAGGGCCAAAATAAAGGTCGGGTGATTATACACTTCACTAAAGAACTCACCACATGGTAACCCTCCAACTGCATTTTAAAGAATTTCCAATTTACATACAGCTATGCAGGACACAGAACACAAGTTTTTATGTACAGTTGACTCTTGAACAGTGGGGGGTTAGGGGCGCCAGTCCAAAAATCCAGGTGTAACTTGTGACTTCCCAAAACCGTAACTACTGAGAGCTTATTGCTGACCAAAAGCCTGAGTGATAACATTAACAGTGGATTAACACATATTCTGTTATGTTATATGTATCATCTACTGTATTCTTACAATAAAGTAAGCTGGAGAAAAGAAAATGTCATGAAGAAAATCATAAGGGGGCGCATGGATGGCTCAGTCGGTTAAGCGTCTGGCTTCAGTTCATGTCATGATCTCACGGTCCGTGAGTTCAAGCCCCATGTTGGGCTCTGGGCTGACAGCTCGGAGCCTGGAGCCTGCTTCAGATTCTGTGTCTCCCTCTCTCTCTGCCCCTCCCCTGCTCATGATCCATGTCTCTCTCTCTCTCTCAATAAACAAACATTAAAAAAATTTTCAATAAAACTAAAAAGAAAAATCATAAGGAAGAGAAAATACATTTACAGTATTGGACTATATTTATTGAAAATAAAATCTGCACGTACGTGGACCCACACAGTTTGAACCCACGCTGTTCAAGGGTCAACTACATCCACACGCCCTTCTTGACAGCCTTTGGAAAAGAATGAGATTTTCATTTGATTTTTTTTAAGGTTTTGCTTTTTGTTTAATTTTTTAACTTCTATTTATTTTGGAGAGTCAGAGACAGACACGGTTTTGCATTTACGGTCTTGCATGGGGAAGGTGCTCCCCACCCAGAAAGCCGGCCAGAGGACTCGTCTACGCAGCAGCTTCCTTTCAATCTAGACGCTTCCCCACCCGCCGTCACAGGTACTTGCTACGGGCCGTCCAGAGCCTTCGGTATACAGACTGCCTGAAATAGGTGCACCAATAACAAAGGACCAGACACAGTTTTTCTCTGCAGAAAGAATGCTTCGTGCAGCACAGCAGTCAGGCCGCGCGAGGGACTTGTCCGCCACTCTTTAAGGCACTTCGTGGAACTCACACGCGGACAGACCTTTAGTTAAAACTCTCAAGAGTGTTCTGAGGATCTGCATGTTTAAAGTGTTACGTTTGAGGCAGGGGAATGGGGACTTAGCAAGCCCAAATTATCAGCTAAGACGTAATAAATCAAAAAAACGTCCTAACTTTCTGCCCTCCTGCACGTACGTAAGACAAAATGGTTTTGTCTCATCCAACAAGGGGGACCCCATAGCGCTGGTATCACAAAAGTGCCTTTCTTTCTCCCGAATAAAGGAAAGGCTCTCTCGCTGGCTTGCTCGCTCGGAGTCACGACTCCAAACTGTGCCTGACACAATAGTGGCTGTGAAAGGCATCCTGAGCTGGCGGAGGTAGACAGGAAGTCATAAATTCACTTCCCCTCATTTACAAGGTTTGTTCAATAAAGAATACAAGCCTATGTTAGAGCTGCAGCCCTTGGATATCTAACAAAGAGATATTTATACGTAGAAAGCAGACAATTAGCGCGGGTGCCAGAGAGACGTGAGGGCATATCTATCACCAAACAATAAAAGCACCCCTCCCGGTGTCGACGGGGCCTGAACAGGGGCCAAAAGAAACAACGGGACTTTTCCAAAGAAGCTGCGTCGCGTGGGTCCTCCGGGGTTCCCATCAAAGCCACCGGCTGCACACCAGATGCCTTCTGCGAAGCAAGATGAGGAGTCGACGTGGGGTGTACACAGGCGGTCTCGGCAACCACTACCACATTGACTCCTTGCGCCCGTCTGTCAACTTTCAGTGAAAGGGAGACGGAGCCACTTTGCAGAAGGACAGCGGGGAAGGCGACCCCAGGGCCTCAGGGAGCGCTCACCTGAATGTTGACAAACACGCCGTGGTACGTCTCGTACAGGACTTTGTTGCCCTTCACGTGCAGGGGAAACTCAAAAGGAATTTCTGTTTTGCCGCTGGGAAATTTTCCTGGCTTCACCATTTCGATGGTACTGTTGATAATGGGGGGGGGGGGGGGGGGGGGGGGGGTAGAAAAAAGCAACTCCGTCTAGCCACAGGCACTTCTAGATGCACTTTCCCATTGCCATGTCCCTTGACGATCTCCTGAAAGCCAGGAGCCCCGGGCCCTGGGGTGCCACCCCACCCCCCCCACTGATGTCCTGGGCCACGCAGCGCTGTGCCCGCAGAGGAGCACACAGCTGGCCCAGGTCTCCGGCACGATGATGGCTCGTTTGCGGCGCTGGATGCCTCAATGTTTGGTGCACATCTGAAGCAGTATCGCCTCTCCTCTCCCAGAAAAGCTCAGTCGACTATCCGAACAACCCTCCCGGCCGGCACTCCCACCTTCAGGATGAAGAAGCAGGCACGGCACAGTCAGGATGTGTGGCCAGGGGGGCTGCCGCCCAAACCCGGGCTGCTCACCAGCCTCCTGGGAGCCTGCCTGCCGCCCGCACAACACTAGGGACCTGCCTAAAGGCAGCTGTCACTGCTTAATTAGTGAATGTGCTCTACACCTCGGTTTAGCGTCACTCAGGAAGTCCCCGACTTCTGAAGCGAGTGTGTAAGTGCTGCTGGAGGAAAACGGGGAGCCCGTGGAAGGCGAGGGAAGCAGGAGCCCAAACGCGGTGGCGAGAACCCTTCCTTCCTCTCCCCTCCTTCCCTCCCAACACTGAGAGTTAGTGTGTCCTTCGGGGAAAGGAAACTGTAAGTCCGGACAAAGAGGTGATATTTCTGGAACACGGATCTCTACCCAAAATGACCAAAAGAAAAGAATGGTCACTGCCCTATCTGGATATCAAATCACGGCTTTGTTTTGGGACGGGGAGGGCCAGAAGCCACAGGGACGGCCTCTCAGAAGGGCTCTGGTCTCTTTAAAGGCTGAATTTAGTCCACTTACAGTTTTCCTCATCCTATCTTCTGGGAATTAAAAACAGACTTTTAGTCACAGGATATATTCGGAATCAAAATATCTGAGTAATTTTTTCACTTTGATTAGTAAGTATTAAAAGTAGGACGATTGCCATACCTTGTGAAAGAACGACAGGTGACCACAAAAAAGCCAGAACGCAAGGGGAAAACCCCGCAAGCACGGGGATCATGAACTAAAAAGTGTGCAACGTGCGCATTCTTACCTTGACAGAGTTGTAGAAAGCCTCGAACACACCCACGCTCTTGGCGCTGAGCTGGAGGTTCACACTTCCTTCCACTGTCAGCGACACTCCCTGGTGCTGGATTGAATCCTTGCTAGATATGACCACCACACCCGAGAGCACTTCCTAGGAGAGCAGAGACAGCCACCAAATTAGCACACGTTTGCATTCATCTTAGTAGCCAAAATAGGTCTCCTGAACGATATTTTGTTCAAAGATGCAGACGTTCACTGAGCACTTATTACAGACCAGAGACCTGGATGCTGAGATGGAGATGGCACAGCTGTGGCAGGGAAGTGGGGGAGGAGGGCTGGACGGTCATGACAATTATAGGTACCATTAGCTGGGCCCACGCTGCCAGGGACCATTGGGGGGTGTGGCCGAGGGATCTCAGGCCATGGCCCCCTTCCAGACACATCCACACTCCCGGCTGGGAGAATCCCAACAAATGTCTGATTTCAAAAGGGCAGAGACAAGGGCCTGAGGCAAATGGAAGATTCACAATCACGTTACACGCGAGCATGGATAATGACCTCTTCAGAAAGAAAACAATAAAAAGAAAATCCTTTTCTTTGGGTTCCTTCCTGATTATGGCAAAACAAGTACACGTTTTCAAATGCATAATTTAACACAACTCCTTGGTCCCATGTCCTCTCTGCCCAGGGAGCCTCGCTGAGGAGGGGTCCTGAGTTTGTCCACACAACACATGAGGGCAATCCGGCCTTTCACGAAAGGTCTTCTCCAGGCTCTCCAAGTCCAGGTTCACCCTGGAGACATTCGAGCCCAGATTTCTTCCTGGATCATAAATCATTCGAGAAAGATTTCACAACAGATCGTGTATTCATTTATCTGAAGATAATTACTGAGTGACAGAATACGGACATTATACTCTCGGCTGGATGGCAGTTTCTTCCTGTCACCATAGAACTTGACGGTCTCAATTTGCTATGGGGGTTTTGGGTGGAAAAGGAAGTTGAGGAGATTAAATAGCATCCACCCGAGCGGAAGGAGAATCCACAATAAATTCAAATGATGTACTTCTGAAATGACCTTCAGAAACAGGCTGCGTCTGTCAAATGGTAATATGATGGCAGAAAACTGGATACAAAAAAACAAAAAAAGGAAACCGGTAAAATTAAAATGGGCCCGCAGATCAAAGCATTAAAAACCATCTGTCCTATTGATGTTGAAACCTTTCCATTTCCTCTACTCATCCGGTGAAAAACCATTGACCAAGTTCTCACGGTATTTGGGGGAGCAGGGAATATTCTATGTCTCTTAAATGTGCTAAGTATTTTGTTTTTGTTTCCTACTCCCCCATAAAAAGTAAGGAGGCAAATTTAAGTGGAAATTCCTCTGAAATAATTTAACTTTGAAATTTAATTAAAATTAATTCTTTCACTTCTCGTACAACCCCAATTAAACAGAAATCTAATTTTTAGAAATTTAAATTCACTAGTATATTTTTAAAAATCTACTTGATGAATGTGTCCAAGAAATAAAATGAGCCAAAATAATTGCATGAACTCTATCACTTATTTATTTATTTTTAAAAATGTTTTTATTTATTTCTGAGAGAGAGATAGAGAGACAGCGTGAGCAGGGGAGGGACAGAGAGAAAGGGAGACACAGAATCTGAAACAAGCTCCAGGCTCTGAGCTGTCAGCACAGAGCCTGATGCGGGGCTCAAACCCACGAACCGTGAGATCATGACCTGGGCCAAAGTCGGACACTTAAGCGACTGAGCCACCCAGGCGCCCCTGAACTCTAACACAGTTGTGCTTGGGACAGTTCTACTCCTATTGATATATTCACATTTTCAGTTAATCTCACAGGAGCAGGGTCTGGGGCTGACCATCAATTGGCATATTATAATCAACAGCACCTTTCCTTCCCTAATCCCTATGGCATAAGAAGGAAAAAGAAGCCAAATACCTTGGAAGTAAGCAGAGTAAATATTTTATGACCCAAGGAACTCTTTTGCCATTCTTTGATTTAATTAAGAAAGAACACAGTAGAGAGAATACAAAAGTAATCAAGTAGTTGTAGATGAGTTAGGCATTCCTATGATATATAGTCTGTTTAATCTCTGCCAACAAAAGAAAGATATAGAATCTGTCCAAGGGTTTGGGGTGCCTGGGTGGCTCAGTCGGTTGAGCATCTGACTTCTGCTCAGGTCATGATCTCATGGTTCGTGGGTTCGACCCCTACGTCGGGCTCTGTGCTGACAGCTCAGAGCCTGGAGCTTGTTTTTGGATTGTGTCTCCCTCTCTCTCTGACCCTCCCCTGCTCTTGCTGTCTCTCTCTCTTTCTCAGAAATAAATTTAAAAAATTAAAAAAAAAAAAAAAGAATTTGTCTGAGTGTAGGGGTGCCTGGGTGCCTCAGTTGGTGAAACATCTGGCTCTTGACTTCAGCTCAGGTCATGGTGTCAGGTTGGTGGGTTTGAGCCCCTGTCAGGCTCAGGGCTGACCGAGAACAGCCTGCTTGAGATTCTCTCTCTCCTCTCTTCCCACACCTCACCTCCCTCCCCCCCTCCCCCGCCCCGTGTGCTCCTTCTCTTTCAAAATAGATAAACTTAAAAAAAAAAATTTTTTTTTTGGTCCAAGTGTAGCACAACAAACCAAGAAACAGAGTTTTCTTTTTATTTTGAAGAAACGGAAGATGGTTCTGACAGAGTGAAGGCCCCTAATAATGAGAAACCTATTGTTTTTCAGGGAGATATAAGGACATGGAACACCTTGGTTCTAGGCCCCAGGACAACGCTTGATGAATTCCGCCAAAGGCACACAGAACCAACTTGAAGACCTAAACTTAAGGGAAAACTCAACACCTCACCAAGAACATCCCCCTCGGCCTGTGTTCTAGAACTCTCCGCAGGGAGAAAGAAGACTTGAGCCTCTGGACGGTGCCCGCACATTGCCGGGTCACCTAGACAGTGCCGACGTCCCCTGGCGTCACCTGCACGTCGCCCGGCGTCAAGCGGGAATGAAGCCCAGAAAGGACGCACACGAATCAGGCCACACGCGCTCACTTTGGCGGTAAGACCCCCGGCTGTCGTCATGGCCTCAAGGAGGCCCGGGCCTGAGAAAGGTCCGGGGACGCGATGAGAACGACCCAGGCCCCACCGCGTGGGTGGAAGACTCGAGGCGACAGGCCCTGCCTCAGCCTGCGGCTCCGAGGATGGATGGGACTCACGACGGGTCGCCCGCCCCAGCAGCCCCGCACGGACACCAGGGCCCAGTACCTTCCAGTGACAGACCCGGCCCCGCCGTGAGGGACACCCGTTGTGGCGGACGAGCCGGCTCTGGAGCAATGCCTGGAGCAGCCGGCCGGAGCCCCAAACCAAGGCTCACTGGAAGGAGCACTTGTTGAGAAGGCTCTGGTCGCACCCGGTCTCAGCCACGCTGGCACCCTCGACAGAAACCGCACCCACGTCCTGTCAGAGACCACGTTCTCGAATGGTCTTCTCTAAGTGTAAGAGGTCACAACCAAATGTAACCACTTTTTCTCTTTTTTGTTACGCAGAGTTAAACACCAAACCCATGATTTGGATACTGGGTTTGAAGCTGGTGTCAGGTCCGTGTCCCCATCCCAGCTTCCTGGAACTCACTGGAAAGAGCAAGAAGTTAAAACCACAGACTCTGTTTTTAAATTTTTTTTTTAATAGTTTATTTTTGAAACACAGAGAGACAGAGCTTGAGCGGGGGAGGGGCAGAGAGAGAGAGGGAGACACAGAATCCGAAACAGACTCCAGGCTCTGAGCTGCCAGCACAGAGCCCGATGCGGGGCTCAAACCCATGAACAGTGAGATCATGACCTGAGCCAAAGTCAGTCCCTTAACTGACTGAGCCACCCAGGCGCCCCCAGACTCTGTTTTTAATGGTGAAGCCAGGTGAACACCAAGAAACCCCACCCGGGGCCGGCAGTCAAAAGCGGCAACAAGGCCCCTCAGTTCTGGAAACCCGCTTCTGGCAGGTGAGGCCGCACCTGGAGCAGGTCGGGATCTAGGGGCAGAGAAGGCAGCACCATGGAGGGGTCCCACCAGGGCCCTGCCCGCAGGGAGCAGCAGTCTGCGGCGGTGGGAGGCAGCGAGGTGCTTCGCACTGTGAAAACCTCCCCCAGCTGCTCAGCTCACAGCAGAAGGAAAGTAAACGATAAAGAAACTCATACCTAAAACCTCAGCCAGCCTGGTCTAGGGATAAAGTCATGTCATACGAAGACGGAGACATTTCACAGAACCAGCAGAGAGGCATAGGACATATGATGGCCCTAAACGTGAGTGAGGGTCGGAGGAGAGAATCCAAGCAGCAGATATGAATACGCAACAGAAACATCACGGCACTCTTCTGTTTAAAGGAACTTTACAGCGGCTCCCCATCTCACTCAGGGCAAAGGCCAAAGTCATTTTGACGGCCTAGAAAGGGGGAGTCCGCCCCTGCCCAGCCTCAACTCTCAGCCCAGGACTGGCCCCCTTGCTAGTCCTTTAGGTGCTTGCAAATTCCATCCTCAGGGCATTTGCACCGCCCTCCCCCCACCCCCGCAACCTGGGTGTTCCTCCTGCACACGCCCACATGACTTCTGACAAAAATTCTCTCCTTGACCAAACTCTACTCGGCTTTGCTTGAGCTCTTTTTCGAGGAGGCCTTAACTGCTGGACTTCCGCGTTCATCTCTGCACCGTCTGACTGTAGCAGGGATTCTGCTAATTGCTTTAGACACACCCTGTATCTGATCACTCTTGCTCAGGCTCCTCACTGGGGCCCCAAGCCCACCACATGAGATCCTGTCGCCCTGGCCTGCCTTCAGCAAGAGGCCCATGGGGTTGGTTTAGCCAGAATCCCCACTCAGACTCAGGCCCTGCTGCCTCCTCCTCCCCCCGCCGCTCCGTACCCACACTGTACTCAGCACTGTGCCTGTTCTCGCTCCTACTGCTCGGCCCCCGCACCCACCACAGCAGTGCTCCCTGAAAAAGCCTGCCTGACCGTCTTTAACAAGTGTCATGGATCATCTTTTCTCTAACACTCCCTCCCTCATCCCTATCAAGTCGTCGTGCAAATGACTCCATTTTAGGGAGGCCTTCCCTGACCATCCTATCTAACACTGCCTTCTCCCCAACACTCAGAGCC